AAAAAAAAAAAAGTCTTCATGGTTGATCAGTCTGGGTTACGTAAGTGAGAACTCACTTCAAAAGAGGAGCACAGGAATAGACATAATGCCCCACAGGACCCGTGTATGTGTGAAGGGGCAGCAGCTGAAGAGAAAGACATTCAGAACAGGTTTTCTGAGGAGGCCACCTACTACAGTGAATAGGATTAATGCAAAGAACAGTCAGAAAGACAGTTCCCTGAGTTTTCAGATCACTGATTTTGTGATTTTACTTAATTCTAGTGAATTTTNTCAAAATGCCTAACATAGGATGCTATAAAACAGAATTTCATTATATTATTCTATCTTCGATTGTAATTTTCAAGCTGGGAGCTGATTATATTTTTTTTGAGTAAATAACTGCACTAAATGATATTCAGTGATCTCTTAAATATTTCTAGACTTTTGAAAAATAGTGAAAAATTACATTATATAGGTTTTCCCTCTTTAGACTTCTCCTCTCTTTTTAAATTTTCTCTTTTTTTTCTTTTAAAAGATACTCAATATACCTGCTATTTTTTTCCTGATGCAAAATACTGGACTAAGTCATCACATGGATTGGTATTTTGTTCAGCCATTATGACTAGCAAAGTGTATTTGCTCAGAGGAATTTTTTAATGCATCTCTAATCTCTGTCATTTTAGAAGCATTTTAATCATTACCACTGTAACAGATACTGTCACTAGGATTTTAAGAACACAGTAAACACAAAGTCATTTTCAAAAAGCCCTGCGAGTTGTCCATACCTGATATCTTTGGTATGTGTTGCTGTGTTCTCAGGTTTCCGGTTATATTGTCTATCGAGAATCACTGCAGTATCCAGCAGCAAAGAAAGATTGCTCAGTACCTGAAAGGAATATTCCAAGACAAACTAGACCTGTCATCTGTGGACACAGGAGAGTGCAAGCAGCTTCCAAGCCCTCAAAGTCTGAAAGGCAAAATCCTAGTGAAGGTAACTACTTCAAGCAACGTAATAAAAATAACTGATTATCAACTAAGCCCGCCTTACCTTAAAGACTAAAAACTGATTTTAAAAGGAGAATAATAATTAGGACCAATACATCAAGGATTGTCTAGATCTCTGTATGCATCTTATTCTAATTTATTTATAGTTACACTTTCAGAAGAAGCTTATTGTTGACTGACCACGTATTCTGGGATTTGTTTTGGTGAAGTGAGAACATCAATACCATAAGCCCAATATTAAATATTTTAGTCTGCAATAGTTCACACTGGAGAGAAATGTATGTATTAGGAGTATGAGATACAGGGGAGAAGCCTCCCTGTATCCACATCTGAATGCATTTCTTTCAGGTTTTTTCCTTCTATTTCAAGTTCCAATACCTGTCAAAAAAAAAAAAAAGTCTTCATGGTTGATCAGTCTGGGTTACGTAAGTGAGAACTCACTTCAA